ACATCGTCAAAATGATGAACGGACGCGAAAACTGGTCGTGACGACGGTCGGCTCGAGGAGCTGGCGCTGATGGACTATTGCTCATTGTTAACCTTTGGCGCAATTTCCGCGTTTGCTGTACAAATTTACATAACAGTATTGGGTAGCACAGCGGTACGAATAATTTCGGTATATCAAACGCAACAATATTCGTGAGGAAAGTCCAAATGGCCTGAGCGGCGCCGTTTATCTTGCACGCGGTACCAGGCTGCCGGTAATACACAGCGTCTATGATAATCCCCGTCATTTGGATAATATGCACATAAACTACCATACTCGTAGCGAAGCAGATTAACCATGCCATGATGTACGTGTGACATCGGCGGTACGAATGCGGCCAGAAGAGCGCCCACAAACGATTCAGACTGATGATCCCGTGGCTGTGCACTGTGATGACCACGATGACGTAACGGCAGTACAAGAACAAGGTGCACACGGGATGGCATAACAGCCAATTCGGGTAACGAATGGTGAGAAGCGTCAGCAGCTGGGTGAGGACAAGGCACAGGAGATGGCAGCATGTCAGTGCCAAAATGTACACGTTGAACGGTATCCGCGGAGATTTCTCCTTGAGTAAAATCCACAAGACGATAGCGTTCAAAATGTCGTCGCGATCAGCTCATCCGGTCAAGGCGGCGGCGCCTTTATTGTCGTATTATGTGGTCACTCCGCCAATGAAAAATTAGATGACCGATTGTAAGAAGCGTTCAATGTGTGCATTTTTTTAACCGTTATGGATTTCGAGTACAGGTAAACGGTTCGCAGTTCAATATGCTTCACCAAAGCAAAATGATGCCACTGTGCATGCCGGATGCCGATCCCAGTTTGATGGCATGCATTCCGGAAGAATGACCCAACTAAATCACAGTAGCGAGCCACTACCAATTATGTTGTTTACCGCGAAAGCGGTAAGATTGATATTCTTTCTAGGTTAATCGTACGGCGTACCACACTAACTAAATCAGGTGGCATTTCAGGCGCAGTACATTGTGACTACGTTCATGCAACCGTGGCAGAAACAAAAACCATTTCTAAATTCTTTGCGGATGGAAAAAGTGGAAGTCGTTGATATGTTAGAACTGGTAAACCATCCTCGATGTTACGCTGATTTGCTATACCGTGTGCACATGTGCACATACAGCTACCGTATTCTGTACTAATGTTATTGTTAATACAAGGTATGAATGCACGATATTGTTTCGCGAATAAACTTTAGGTTTGTAAAATAGGATCCCAAATAATGGTGGACTGTACTATATTCGCTTTCCTCAGTAATAATTGGCTATTTTTTAGGTTTCCTTGTAAAACCTCGCTTTGATGTTAGTTATATTTAGATGGCTTTAAAAATCTGGTAAACGGGTTATTATACAGTAACGGTTGATTAGAATGTTATATAGAAGTTTTTAATAATGTTTAAAATAATACGGTACTTCGAAAATTCGAGTGCGATCCGGCATCTCGTGAACCACGGCAAAATTCAAAAATCTCTTACAATTCGTAAACGTGAACGCTGTACATGCGCCGGCTTTTGCGGGACAGTTAAAGTAACATGTTATGTTATTATAGCAGTTATAATTATTTTACTTCTGTAATCTGTAATGTAAATAGTCTACTTCTGCCGTTTTACGCATAAAGTCCGGTGCTTAACGGAAAACTAACAGAAATAGCGTTTCTGGAATTGACTTAACTTTTCTTGTAACAGGTTGACGCGAATCTTTAAGCAGCATCACTGTAAGAATCGTACGATAACCATAACGATAATGATTATAACTTTAAGAATTGTACGAGCACATACTGTAATTGGAACATTTCCACCATCTCAGGTATGTTTGGGTTATCGCTCGCAATTTTATAAGAATGGTACAGCATGTAACTGGAATTTATTTGTAATCCCTTGAAAAACAAAACAAATGCGAGATATGAAGTACTAACAACAAGGATTGAAAGGACCTTTAAATTCTACAACAGCTGCGCTATCTGTACACCAAAATTAATATAATGCGGTATTACCGCATCCAGAACCAATGCAATGCTGTACTTGTATAAAATTAGTCGACGTATACCATATAGCATACAGAGAATTTATTTATTGCTCGTAAAAATCTTCTCCCTAATTTACTAATTCACTTATTTTTAAGCCGGAGCAAACCCTGCTTCCACTCAATCCAATTTCTTGACCCGCAATCGCGACCGACAGCATTTCTATGTCATAATGCCCGCAGCAACGTACAACAAGTAGAATGGCTGAACCAGAAAAATTCTTGCATTCTGCACGTTCTCAAAGTTAATTCGTGTGGCAACAAATACATAAATACTAGAAACGGTCTGTCAGTCCAAGGACTACCAATGCTAGTCGGATCCTCCAACGTCGAATATGGCTCTAGCAAATATCATTCAGTATTAAACGGCGTATTTGCAATTTAAGTTTAAGTTTAAGTGCCACGATTACAACTACGTACTCTGTCTAACCAAAAGACCAGCTGCAGATTGATGAAATTACTCAAAATATTATAGCAAAGGTAACATAGCGCAGAAGCGAGCCAGAAAATTACCTATCGATCTAACGGGAACTGTAGTACTAGTGCTACAACAGAAATCTAATGGAGTTCCTGCTTAGTGTTTAGTGACTAGTACAGTAATGTATTACGCATAAATGCCTCACTATTCACAAAACAAAATCGTAAGCTGCAAATTTAAATGTCACGCGAATGTAAATGCAAGTACAAGCGCATCCTGTCAGCACTTTTGAGTGAGTTAAACACTGTTTTGATTTTGCCGCATCGCAGCGCATCACGGATCAGCAAGCTGAAATGCCACTTCGATAATATTATTATGATGCTAGTTACCGTTCTGGATTGCTTTTACTTATACAAACTGAAGAAAGCCATTATGCGACATTAAACATAAGAACGAGGTACAGGTAACAGGAAGTGTTTTGGTACTGCAATGATGTAAGTATGCAAAACGGCAAAATGTACGAGCACACGTTAAAGAGTGTCCGCGGGGATATCTCCTTTAATAAAATCCATAGCACGATTATGTTGAGCATCAGAGCTGTAACCGGCATCCCGATCAATTTCTTGGCCAAGACACTGGCGCATATGTACATGTCGCAATGTGTGGTGGCTCCGCCAAGGCAGAATTCGTGGACAAATTAAGAGGAGCGGTCAACGTACACATTTTGCCGAACTGTGAATCGTCATGCGTCGCTGCGATGTCTGATGGTTTTGCAAAATGGTGCCAGTGTTTGCGTCGTGCAGACTAACCATAAGCTCGCTTGCTGAAGCCGGTCCCTGGTCTGACACTGACAAGATCGCTTATGTGGCAGTCGTGCCCCAATGAATATCTGTATTAATGAACTGGCGAAATCAGCGATCCAGTCTTTTCAGGTTTAACGTACCACATAAATTAAATTAATCGGAATTGTTACGCGCAACATAATATATACGTTGTAAACTTGTGGCCAGTGTTTGTGAAGTATCGTTCGTGTTCGTAAAGTATCGTTTGTGAAGTATCGTTTGTGAAAAACCAGCAAACCGTGTCTTCTATAAGGATTAAGGAGCGTACCGTATGTTACCGACCAAAGCGGAACTGTGTCACCTTGGTCATAGTAAAATGTCCCCATTTCTTTGCCTTCAGCATGTGTACTGAAGTGTTCTGCTAGACTGCTGCATTGACTGATTGATGCGAGGTCGGGAAAACGAATACAGCAACAGACGAGTGCTATCATCGAATCATCATCCCTTTTTTTAAACTTAATTCACAGGGAAGAAGGCAATCTACGCTAAGGACGTTTGTAGCACGTGCGTATTATTTTCGTCAGGAATATAACTACGAGTCTACGAGTAATGTTTTTAAAATCAGGCTTTGGCGCTACAAATAAATTTTACACCGACAAAGCTTGGAAACATTCCCATTGATGCATATTTTCTTACTAATTTAAATGAACAGGATCGAACAGCAGTTCTTGCATAATATTCTGGGCACCCTGCTCTTGTGTATTTTGCATTATCTGTATTACTCGTGCATTAAGATTGGACGAAGTGTACTATGTGCTAAAATAATGTGACGCGTAATTTTGTTTCTATCCTATCTTCACTCCAATAACCCAATAAAGTAACACGCTCGTACATTTATCTGCACCGAGCGCGAAGCGCGAGGTGCTACTCTATGCCTTCGTCAAGCGATAAACGCATTCATAGCATTCCATAGCAGAGTATACGCTTCCCGTAGCAGAGTTTGTCTGTCGCCCACGAAAAGTGTCAGTCACGTTTTCCAATTCCACAAATTTTCATTTCCATTGGCAGTGGTATTTCATAGCGTACGCGCTGTTTCAAGGATGTCATTAACATCGTTTTCTAATGGTACTGGAAGCGCGCAATAATACTTGGTGTCGTTAATACTTTAGCACGAAATTTTCTGGTCAGAATTTGGATAAAAACCATTTGTTTTTATCTACAGCGAAATCTTTTTTGAATTTTTTCCTAATGTAGTGTTCTCTAGTGTTTTACTGAATGTAGTTTCCCAGATTGACAGTAGATCACGGGATCGTAACAATAGACTGGAACACGCCAGCGCAAAACTTGCACCAGCGAGCTTATATCACATGTACGCTGGCTACACCATCCCCGAAGAGCGCCATCAGAACTGGGTTCGCGGTGCGCCATGTCGATTCATAGTTTAACATTCCCAGCGGACCGGCGCTCGCGCTCGGTGCAATGATGTGATTTAAACAACCAACACTAGTAATAATTATTCTTTGCGATGTGCGCCGCTCTCTTGCGGGTGCCAGTTGCAGTCGTTGCGGTGCAACACCACAACCGGCACAACGTCAGTGGCGAAGTGTGATTCAGACTGCAGAATAATATCATGCAGTTCAGTTCGGGATATTCCAGATAGATTGAGGATACCGACAGCACGGCAGCACCAAACGAAATGTTTTGAGCAGCAGCAAGAGTACGACGATTTCATTGGATCGATAAGCAGTTTTCTTCCTCACTAGTTCTAGCCTCTCCTACCGTTTAATTGGCATTTGGCAACTGTTTATCAGCTTTCTGCCTTGTGTTTCGACTTTTTAGTACTAGTACTTATTCTCATTAACCTGGTGTAAAGAATCAGACAGAGCTCAGTTTTGAAGTACGTAAATAATCCAACCTTGGCAAATCCGTCGTTGACGATCGAGCGGCTTGTTTGGCCTTAGAGGATACCGACCCAGGTGATTGAATTGTTGAGCAGTATTGTTCTTAAGGACACCTCAGACTGAGAGCTCAATTAATGTTATTGGCCCAGGTGAATCGCGAACACTAGGTGAAACACAAGACCTTACTTAACCTCCCTGCGAGCAGTGCAGAGTGTTGTTTGTCGCGAATATTACGATCGGGTGTGTTCAGACTTCGCAGCTCAGACCAAGTTGTGACGAACACAATGAAAGTCAGTAAATTATCGGTTTATTAAGTAAAGATTCAATGAATTGTATACTTTACCGTAATCCTTGGCTCTCTGAAACGCTTACCAGGTAACCTATGTTATTTGGTCTGCAGATGTCGGCAAATGTTGTGCCTCTCGAGTGGGATTCTCTGCCCAATGCTGAAATCAAAGCCTCTCTGTTTTGTTTGGTTTTCCGGAATCGCTTTTGCGATACTTCCAGCAATTGGTGAGACGGACATGTGCCTGGTGGGAACTTTGGGTTCCCCTAGTTTCACTGCAAAACTTGTGACTTGCAGTTGCTAACTATTTTTTGTAATAACTGTGTGTGTGTTTGCTTGCTTTTGGAAGAATTAGTGTGCATTATGATCGTTCTTGATGTGTTGGTGTCAGCTTGTTGTTTTAATGAGCATTTATATTGACAACATCTTAATATGATATAGGTAATCAAAATTTGTCTTTATGTACCTTTTGTGATTTGACAGGCGAGTGTGGTGGGACGATGGAACCACGCAACATAGTCGGATCATTTTTTTTCAATCGTACCGCCGTCGCACTGGGCGGCACCGTCATTTTCGTCTGCAATGCGACAAAAAGCGGCGGCGTGCAGTGGCTGCATCAGGAAAAGCGCATTGATTCCCAAAAAAATGATTCCGTTGTCGGTGCTAAACGGCACTGGCGTGTCAGTTCTCCGGTTAACCACACCGGACCGCACACGTTGACGATTACCAATGTGCAACTGGAGGATGCCGGCAGAATCCAGTGTGTGGCCGATCCTGTGAAGCCCGGCGCGAGAAAAACTACCGTTTGGGCATTGCTAGTTATCGGTAAGCAAGTGGATATAAACATGAAAATTACTGCACAGTACGTACTATTGTGGAAAATAAACAGAAAATCGTCAAACACTATAGAGTCTATTCTGTATGTCTTTCGACGCTTCAAAGAGGAGAAGACGCGTTTGGCACGAAGCTGCCGTATTTAATTAAAAAAACTGAAGAAAAATTTTGTTTATCCCCAGTCACAATGCCATAGGTACCAAGATCAACGGGAAAGCAGTTTCACCGGCAAACGCGCGAATTACTGCGGGAAATAAAGTCGATTTGACGTGCTTCTTCAAAGGCGAACAACCTTTGCCATCCCTAACATGGTACCGCAACTCTGTCGCAATGGATGAAACTTACTGTAACCTTCAGCCATCATGTATGTGCCGATCACATCCTTCTCGTTACTCTCGTGATTATGAATCGTTACTCTCGTGTTTGCAGACTCAAATAACAGCTGTGAGGTGACGAAGGTAAACAATGCAATTACTCTGCGGTTTGTAGCTACGAGAGGTCTTGGTGGGGCTAATTTCACCTGCAAACCTCGGGGAGACGACAGGAAAGGGCCGGGAAGCGTCGTCGGCGCCGTTGCACTACCATCCTTTCAGTTGATTGTTGAAGGTACCACTGCACAGGACTGTAATCTACGAGGACATTTGCAGTTTTGGCGAAGCGCATGTTGCACAAGTGTGCGTTACACCAGTCACGCTTTTGCTAAGCATCCCTTGACTTTGAAACCTGGTTTTGCAGGTAATCGTTCCGCAAGTGAACCATGGCCCGGAGTCGAAACGAGTGTCAAACGGGCAATCACATCGGCGCGTCCATTTACTCGGAAACCATCGCCAACAGCTGTCAAAGCGACGGATGCATCTGCAGGGTACAGGTTCATGACGGCAACAACCGATGATGTGAAAACGTCCCCCACACCACGGCGATCCCCACTCATTCCGGATTGGGTTTTAGCGGCCATCGCCACCATATTCGTGGGGATCGCGCTGTTCTCTGTGTCCCTTCTGATCGTGATTGTGCTAAAGAAAAAGTGCCCTAACTGGGAAAGGCGACATCGCAGAAATCAAGGTGAAGCCATCGGATTTGAAATTTTGAATACAATTTATCTGCTAAATGAAGTACCAATTACTTGACATGTGCAGTTTGAATGGTTGCATGAATTGCAGTTTATGGTTTCATAAATTGAGCGATATGCCGTACACAGAGCTACGGATCGAACTTCGATTACTGTGCAGTTTAAGCATTCCGCGCTTGTACTTAATTCTGAATGATTTGCGGTTTTCTCGTTTGTAATGACTGCGTATGTTGCTGTCTTAAACAGGCTCACTGTCATCGCCGTCTTCGATTAATCCTACCGGGGTCCAAGTGATGAACAACGTGCACACCCCGCTGCCGTGCCGGTCGTCGGTGTCATCCGCTGCCTTCCTCTTGACTGACACGCCGGCCTCGAAACAGTCAATGGCTCCTTTCATATCCGAAGGGACAGGAACTACTCGCGCCTACAAGAAGCACGGTGCGGAAAGCGTCAGCTATTTTGTCTAGTTGGCTTATTTGCACTGTAAGCAAAAAATAGCGCCAGTGTCGAAAGTAGCCGATTTTAATTTGTCTCGCATCGGCGTGTGGTTTTCGCTTTGTCTGATTGTCATAACCAGTCTTCTGTTTTCCGTTTCCTCCAAGAAAAAGCATGGGCTTTTTTGAAGTTTTAATCCAGTACTAGTGGTTTGTATCAGTTTAAACATTTTACAGTCTTTCCATGTACTGACACAATAAACCGGCCTGTAAAAATTATTTTTGTCTGATTTTACTGGTTAACCGCAAAATAATAAGCATGCGTGACTGAAATAACCCCTTTACTTAATATACATGAACGAGTGCATACTATATTTTATTATTCTTAAAGAAGTTCCCTTTTGGGCACCCTGTAGACCCACGGGTTAACTTCGTTACTTAAGCATTAAACCTAAACCTAAACCTAAATGAAACATCTAGTGTGATTCTTCACACCTCTCGTTTTTGTTTATTTGGCAGTAAGCGCAGCGAGAAGTTACAATTAGGACTGTGTTATTAGAAAAATTTTTGTCTGTCGCCTCGAACACGAAAACGTCACGTACGCAGTGGCTCCATTTCAGTAAGTATTTCCATTTCAGTGGATTGATCTTCTGATTAAAAACCATCCGCAAGTATACACACACGTGCCATAGATCACATTCCGTTTTGACTATAAAATATGACATTCATCTGTTTGTTGTTCAGAACGAATTTCCCATTCTTGGCAAAACCATAGTTTCCGTAAAAAATAGTGATCTGAATTGTTTATACTTCCTTCGAATATACTTCGTTTATACTGCGAATATTGGAAATGTTTATGCTTCTGAATTGTTTAATTACACATACTTATAAGTTACAACAAAGCCTGGGGACTCAATAATCGCAGTATGAAAACGTTCAGTATGCGTAGCGTCCGCCTGGTAAAAATTATCCGAGTCTTTAAGCAAATCAATTTGAGCAAGGTTTTTTCAAAGCCAAACTCCTTAAAACACGAAGTAGTTCGATTAAGATCTTTCAGCGCCGTGCATGTGTTCTGTTGGACGACAAGGCTATACGGTACCCGATACCGGCCGCAACCCCCTTCTGTGACCTTTCTTCCGGCATCTTACAAGGTTCAGACACAAATCCCGCAATTCCTTCACACTTAGAAAGAGGATGATCGCATCGACTGCCGCCTGGGATTCCACGATCCAGTTCGCATAAAGGTAAAATTCGTCAGGAAAATGGAAACCCCCAAAATCAGCTGCCAGAAAGACAATTGAAGAAGGCACCCAGCTGATAAAAACAGTAATGGTCAGCAGCGTTGACACCATAAATGCTGTCTTGTTCTCTTTGCTCCGTGCATTCCTCCGTGCATTCCTTGTTGTTGCTGCTGCTGCTCCCGCTGCTGTTGTTGATGTTGCTGTTGTTGTATCTCTTCCGGTAATTTCCAAACTGGGTGGTTTGGTACGTCTTAATTTGAGTGTTCTCCATAGCAGGTACGGATAGCCTCCAGTAATGATCACAACCGGCAAATCGAATATAGAAATCTCGATACTCTGTACGTATGACGCTTGCGGCGCCGGATCCCAGCTGCATCCGTACATTTCGCCAGGGAGACGATAGTACAGAGTACCAATGATCAGCAGAGGGAGATTTATCACGTGGAGCAGTACCCACATCCCAGCGCATATCCCACCGGCCAAATACGTTGTGTGATACATACGGTAATAGTGCGGTACGGTCACCGCTGCAATTCGGTTACAGGTGATGAGAACTTGCGTCCAGATCATGCACGCATTTATAGAGCCTAAAGCGTAAATGTAAAGGCCACAGACAGCATTTCCTGGCCACCAGTTTGGTTTAAGCCAATAATGAATTATGTCATAAAATTCGGTTAAAACCAAGTAGACAATGTTAGATGCAAGAAGGCTGATGAGATAAATGTTGAATGAACGGTGCTGGTTTGTGTTGACAATTAGGACGCCACAAGCAACTATATTCAGCAAAAAAGTGGCTATACTTGTAAATACCCGGAAGCCGGCCGGGAAATTCCATGGAATACCCGTTAGATTGCTGTCGAAGTTCGGGATGGTCAGGTTGGCTACAGAAATGTTGGCAATATCTACGAAACTATTCATCCTGGCGTAAACTATGGGAACGTGCTTTAGCCAAGTTCACAGCTTTTTACAGGCTTTCTATCGACGGCTAAATTGTCAATGTCAAGGATTTTCTGCACCCTTCTTATTGTCATCCGTTTGATGCGGACGTCTATTAAGCATGCAATTTGGGTGCGTCTGTACTGCAGTTGAATTCGGCTTTTCTTGTCATTTTATTTCCGCTTTTCCTGGCATAACAATAATGACAGGAGATCGTTGTCAGAAAATGCCAGCGAGCTCTTATTATGTAAAGATCTTTCATTATTGCTCCCTTTCCGGCATCGAAAACTCTTACTTTACATGTATCTGTACAGATAGATGCCCACGAAGACCATCTCCAACTTGAAATAAAACGGAAACTCATGCCGGTGTAAAACTAGGCGGATATTGATTTTTTCTAAATAGACGTAAATTTTTAACTGGTGTAAAGTGTAAACGGACTTAGTGCAAGAGTAACGGTACGTCGAGGTAATTAAATGGGCAGCATCACTTCCGCTTTAGTAAGCAAACTGAATGTACCGAACAAGTAAACGAGCAGTTGATAAAGAGCAGATTCGGTCTCGAACAACATCCGTTCCGTAGCGCATATACGCACTTCGGTAAATTATTTTAATTTGCCCGCAGGTCAAGTACGGACGCAAGAGCGTTTAATTTATATTTAGTCTATTTTTAGATGTGCTCTCATTTTGATTACTTCTTTTTACAAAAAAAAACTTTCCTTTTTTTTAATATTTCTGGCGAAGCGTTATGATTGGGCGTAAATTACTTGCACTGATAAAATGGTTAGCTAGTTTTTGTGATACACTTTTTAATTGGCGATGCCAGTACGAGTTCTCTAGCCCCCCCCCGTCGAAACCCGCCTAGATTCGCCACTGGCGATGTGACCAATCTGTATCTGGCTCAAGCTGCGAACGTACAGTAGCACCGCCTCTGCAAACGTGTATGCTTCTTCTGCAAGTACCACTTTCTCTTATGCAATTACCTGCCCTCATCCGATGTGTCCTCCTGGACCTGTCGGATGGTATTGCTACCTAATGAGCACCAATCCAGCATAACGTGCAGCAAAAAGCTCCTGCGGTTTCAGCGAACAGGATTGCAATCACAACATTGGTAACCAGTGCAACTGCGATAAGAATTTTTGCGGTGAGGGCCAGGGTCGGCACTGCTGCGTTATCCTACGCTCCTTTAATTTTTAAGTGTTTGCTACCAAGGGTTGCTTGTTTGATGTGATCTGTCGTCCAAGGCCGATGGCTATTCCCATCCGATAGCGCCAGTATCGTATCCGTATCAATCATAATGCCCAATTTGGCTTATAAAGCGTCTGCCGATAGATTTTAAAAATGCGCAAATTTTGAAATAAAAATGTACGAGTAATAGTACTTAAGCAGGAAACGTAGTGTTTACAGGCACAAAACAACGTATCAAGCGATACCGCTTACAGCGGTTATTCTGCTGATTACTATCCGCCTTAACCCCCGACTTATAAGTGAGTTTGTGATTTACTGTACTCTTGCCGGTTATATACGGATATTCCATTACTGCTCCCTTTCCGGCATCGATCACTCTAACTTTACATGTATCTGTGCATGTTGATTTGTCATGTAATTCTGTTGGTAAGGAGCGAACCGGTTGGTAAGGAGCGAACCGGTTATATACGGATATTCCATTACTGCTCCCTTTCCGGCATCGATCGCTCTAACTTTACATGTATCTGTGCATGTTGATTTGTCATGTAATTCTGTTGGTAAGGAGTAACAGCTCAGTAATTGTTCCAAAAAACAGTCTCGTCTTTGCACAAGTCTTCTAGCCACACAGTACTTCGTAAACTGGTATTATTATTAGTATCTATAATTGTCGCGGATTGTCGACTTGATTATGAACCTAGACATGGTTTTTGTGTCCGCATTATAGGTTTGGTCAGTTATTGCACTGTTCCACAATAAGGTTGTTTGAAGCTTCTCACTGTTCACAAGGCTTATTGATTATTTATAACCTTTTTTAATTTGGATATTGCCTCTGACCTAACGAAAACACTCTGTATTTCAATTCACGATTGTGATATCACGGCTTCAATGATTGCTTTAAAATCGGATTAAGGATACCATGACCCTTGTACCATAGCACAGATAAATTGTTTTTCTGTTAAGTGCATGCCACCCATAGGATCGTAAACAAAAACTTGTGTACGTACGGTAGTATAAAAAAATTAATACTGTGACATATTCATGGCAGTTGCAGTTTTGTAGCCATACCAGATTGTAATTAATTTTGTAAGTCCGACAGTCTATAAAACTTGCTGTATTTATATTTTCTGTAATATGCATTCCATTTGATGTACCAGATTTTTATATCAGATTTAGTCTCTATGTCGACCACGTTGAGACTTCAGCGCAGCTAGGGTAGCAGTATTCGTACTGCGTATTGTACATATGAATTCACTGGCTGTCCAGGGCGACATCAACGACAGAAGATCCCCGAACTCTCATCCAAAAACCCAAAAAGAGATCTATTAAAAGAATTATAAGGTTTCAGGGTAGTCTAAAAAGTAAAACTAAGTTTTAGCTAGGAAGAAAAAGAAAGTAAATTGAGATTTACAAGAGAATTTTCCAGATCTTACGGCCTCAAAAATAATGTGACCTTTCTGAAGAACACCCGCTGATCAGGCAGTATTGCGTAAAGGTAATATAAATCCACAAATCATACACCAAATCGCAAATCGCAAACCGAAACCGGAAATCATACAGCTGATTAAAATCTGTGGCACTGGTCTCCATTAAATACTTCAAACAGCTGACTCGATTTGTGGTGCCGTGTCACGGCTCCTTGTGATATAATCTTCTGTCAGACGGAGGGCAGTATTGCCGTTCCCGTAGCACCCAAGAAATTGCAGAATGGCATCGCGTATATCCTTTACGCTTACGAAAAGCATGATGGCATCAATGGCCGCTTCCGTTTCCACCATCCAGTGTGCATACTG